TCCTGAAAATCTGAATCCATTTCAATCCATTCTCGTTTACTGGGTCTTTAATATAATTGTTCTATTTTTTGTCATTTATTATTCTACATTTTAAACTTATAATGTTTTATATTATTACGTCTCTATTAGTCTTACATTTTTAGATATTATTATTGCATTTTTTATGTATCCTAAATCTAATTTATCAATTTTTAACATTTTATAGGTTCACGGGATTTAATTATTTCCTTCTATCGCAATTTTGATAAAGAATTAGAATGAAAGAATTATTATCTAAAATCAAATATCGGAAGGAGAACTGCGTTAAATTCCCAGTAAACGAGAATAGATTAAAATAAATTGAAATTTTGTCTATCCGAATGCGTATTTTAAATAGCGAAAACTTTTTTTGGATTCAATTGGATACAATTAGATTCAATTGGATGCAATTGGGTTGAAAAACTGCATTTCCTATTCAAAATTTTTAATTGAACAGTGCACAGAAAAAGCTAATATTATTTTTAGATTGAAAGGCATAGAGATATGCTCCAATTCCTATAAATGAATAAAAATGCATTCAGTATTGAAAAGGCATAGACATTTGCTTCATGCAATTTCTATAAATAAATAAAAATGCATTCAAAATTGAAAAGCATTCATTTTATCATTCCTGAATCCGTATTTTTGAAAATATCAATCCATTTCAATCCATTCTCGTTTACTGGGTTGAATGTGCTCCGTAAATTTCTTCATGAATTTTCCAGACGGTCAGAATTAAAAGACCTCGTCTTCGAATATAAGACTGGAGTTGATATTTATAAATATTACTAGTTAAACACATTTAATTTCTTCATTTTCACATCTTCACATTTTCTAGCTTAAAATTTACTTTTTCATGTTTAACGTTTAATCTTTATGTTTTCTGGTCTAACATTTATTTTTTAATATTTTAGCGCTTTAAGATCTGCGGTGATTTTTTCAAAGTATCTCTCGTTGTTTTTGTCAAGGTATACGTATCTCTCGAAGAGATGAAGTCTCTCGATCCTGAAGATATTCGTCCGCGCGATTGGCGAAGTTTGAAAAAATTGCATCCATCCACTAATTTGGTATGCAATCACGAAGTTTACTTTCCATTCTCGAGTGAGGGCCGGGTTCTTCGAGGGTCGCGAGGATGGGAGCGAGCAAGCGAGCGGACAGACGTTGCGGCGTTATCGCGCGGCATGGATCTTCTACATATTTCACCGTAATACGTATAAAATGTTGCCGTGAGCGAGATTTTTGGCTCTTTGTTAGACGTACACCACCGCGATACCGTCGATGATGGATCAACGACGCCAACGGATTTTCGTTACGACGATTGCTCTGTGCTGCTGCATCTCTTTGGCGAATCCGACATTCGTCAAACCTGATGACAATCCCGACATCGAGCTCACGACGGTGAGTGTTTTCTTCGTGGCTCTCTTTATAATACGATTGTGACATAATGAACCTCGCTGCAACAACAGATTGTATCTTGAATGTCATGTTAAATTGGTTTGCGTAATTACCTACTCTTTCCATTGAAGTGTTTATCTTGGCATTTAGATGCATTCTTGGAGAAAAGAAAGTAAGATATGAACGGTGATGTTTGAAGAGAGTATACAATCAAAGGAGAAAACTGGGATATCTTAAAAGTGATGAAAGATGAAAATTATAAAAGAGAGCGAATTTATTACAATTTATTTATAATTCCATTGATGAACTAGTTTTTTTAGCATTACTGCTAATTTTTGTAATTTTCACTTCGTTTTAAGATTATCATACATAATCGACTATATTCTTTATTTTTTTGATTATTGTGCAGAACTCCTAAAATCTAATCTACAATTGCTCTTTGCTTTCTATCTCTTGCGTCTTACTTTTGGTTTTTTCACCTCTTATCCTGTTTCTTCGTTTTCTAGCCTAAGATAAAGCCTATTTTACAATGTGTTTTTTGTTTCCTGTTTCTTGTTTTTTTTATTTTTAAATTTATATTTTGTTGCTTCTTATCTGGTTTATGTGCTTTTTGTTTTGTTTCTTGTTTTTTGCAGTTTGTCTTTTTGCTTATCCGGTTTTGTGCTTTATGTCGCCCGAGATAAAAGTTTACGACCTTCGGTAGAAACAGGAAATACTTAACAAAAAATACAATTGTCAATAAAACGGTTGTAAAGGGGGAAAAAAGCAAGAGGTAAAAAGCAAGAAATAGGAAACAAAGAGC